TATATTTTAAAATCTTCTTTTAAGAAATTAATATATAATTAGCTTATATACACAATTTTTAATCTCTGCCTTAAAAGTCACACATTATTAGTATTGTATAAAACATTTTGGTTTTCCCTGTTTTGTGATTTTCAGTACTGGTTTGATTTAGGTCATATTATTTAGGTAACATATTATTACTATTGTATTAAAAATTATAAAACCCTTTGGTTTTCACTGCTTTGTGATTTTCAGCGCTGTTTTGATGTAGGTCCCCTTTTTGTTTGCTTTCATTCCTCCTTTTTCCAGAAAAGATTTAAGGTAATTTCAGCCCACTTTCCTCCAAGTGGGTATAATATATAGAGGAAAGTAAGCGTCTGAAGTTCATATTACATAGTTTTTTTTTTTTTTTTTTTACATGAGACCTTTGCTTTATAAACAACAGGTAAATTTTAATGTACTGGGGAACAGGGCTATAGCGATTTCTATTGTAACATGAAGAAACCCTTTAAAAAGTGAAGAGTAACTCTTCCTTCATACAATCTTGTTTATAAGCATGAGTCTTTCAAAAATATGTTTGTAAGCCTCCAACGGGCTCCTCTCTGAGGGCAGGCCTCTTGTCTTACTGCCTGATACTCCCTCAGCGTCTGGCGCTATTCCTGTCCTTTGTGTTTGCTAGATAAACACCAGTGGAGATACAATGAATAAGACAGAATCATGTCCCAATATTCTAATACTGTTATGAGAGGCTGATTTCAAACAGCATTGAAGTTTGAGTTGGTAATGAATAAGACCTTCGTTCTGCTTCCTCTTGCTAATTTTCAAATCCCCAGATGAGATAATCTTGGTTTAGCTCTTAGCATAGTGCTTGAGCCCCAAGAGTACATGCTAAATAGATGTTAGCTTTCAGTGACTTGGGCTATTTTTCTTTTCACTATTTAAGCTACTTCTTTAGAGATTATATATAAAATATCTTAAAGAGTTTGTCGAGGGAATAAATTATACTATATTTTATAATAAATTGGTATATAATTATTATTTTACATTGCCTATATCATCTAATAGTCCAATGTCTCGTTCACTCATAAGTTTTAATGGGAACATATTTTAAAATAAGGCAGGCTCCAGTCATAAATATAATTTATAGTTCTTTCCATGGTACTTTACTCCAAGCCTTTCAAGCACTCAGCAAGTATAAAATGAGCCCTTTTAATGAATGAGTAATTTGAGGTATCAACTAACAAAGTCTGACTTTCTCCTGCATGTGGGAGATGTGTGAAATGACTGGAGCATTGCTGCTAATCTAAATGGCTCTATGTTTGACAGAGCCTTTGGGAATTTGTCTCAGCCACATCGAGACAGGTGCATAAACAAGCCCAGTGCTGTGAAATCTGTACTGTGGGCTCTGAACAATGGAATCTTCTACTCCAGGCAGGGCTGTCCGATAGAAACCATGTGAGCCACATACATGGCTTTGTGTTAAAAAAGTTAAAAGAAACATTAAAAAAGCCACATTAAAAATGTTAAAAGACACAGGTGAATTGACTTTAATAGTATATTTTACTTAACTCATGATACCCAGAATATTCTCATTTTAATGTGGAATCCTTATAAAAAGTATTAATGAGATATTTGACATTCTTCTTTTTGGTCAAAGTCTTAGAAATCTGGTGTGTACTTTACACTCTCACTACATCTCAGTTGGGACCAGCCACGTTTCAAACGCTCCGTCACCCACGTGGCTGGTGGCTACCATATTGGACAGCACAGCCCTAGTCATTCCCCCTTTAGAGGCACCTCTACACCACGTGGTGAAGAGGAGAGAAGACAGACCAGCTCGGAAGGTTCAGCATACATGTCTTTTCCTGGCTCTGACATCTGATGCTGATGTCACTGTTCATTTCTCTGGGTCTCAGACTCCCACTCTCTATAAAGGAGGATGTTAATATCCGCCACATTGCTTTTAGGAGGCTGTGGGGAGATTAAATAAGATATTGTGTGTGAAAGTGCTCTGTTAGATCATAAGGCACCAGGCACATGTAAGGCATTATTACCCCTTTTACTGTAGATTTACTCTCATGACTCGCCCAAGGCCACATTCCAAATTGGTAGGAGAATCAAGGCTAGAATCCGGGGCTTCTGACTTCCAGCCATCTGCTTCAACTAAAGGCTGTTCATACCAAGCTGGCTTTAAAAAAAACTCTTTTTATTAAAAAAAAAAAAAACTGAGGAAGGAAAAGAGTGGCAGTAAGAAGGAAATTCCATATTGAATAGTTAGGGTCTTTTGGCACCGTTACAGCGTTCTGCAGTAAAATTATACATACAGGATATTTATATACTTATATATCAGAATTAGAACCATCAAGGATTGGACTTTATTGCTGTCATATAATATAAAACCCCATGTTCTTCAAAGTTTCAAACAACTTCCAAATTGAACTGTGGTTCCCCACTCTATTTATCTCCAAAATGTGGTACGACCACAAGAAAGCCCTTCCGCAGTGGGTTTGATTAGTAAAACAGATATGGACCAATTTAGCAGGTTTTCCATGGATTATTTTTGGTTGCAGATGTAGCTCATTAATTTCCATGCAAGAGACACCACCTCTCTAGTGTGAATCCAAGAGACACATTCATCTCTGAACAGAAAGTGAGAATAATTCAATTCAAACCATGATATTCGGAGCTTCCTGTGTGTGAGGCACATACTTTCATGAGCAAAAGGAGTTTGTTTCTATCATAATTGTCACGTAGAGACATATGCTATTTAACTTGAGGAAAATATGCAATCTGTTTACCAAAATGTCTATGATAATGTGATTCAAGAATCTATGTTTTCAGAAAGTAAAAAGACGATCAGAAAGAAAATTCCAGATTATTCAAAAATAATTTTTAAAGTTACCTTCTTTAACTTCATGCCTCCTTCTTTAACTTGTGTAGGGTGCCCAGAGATTTAGTTGTCTTGATCTATTTCCATTTCCCAAATTGTAAGCCTATCATGGTTTCCATATTTAAATATTTTTTGTCATTTCCTACATTTGTTTCAAATGAATTTCTTCATAGAACTTAAAAACCACATAAAGTATTTAGAGTTTTATACTATGTGAAATTAAGCATAAGCCAAGTTCGTTTTCACTGAGAAAAAGACATACATTCAAAAAGTTCTTTATTCTTATTTCAGTCAAAATTCTTCCTTAAAAATGACTTTCAGCTGGTTATTTTTATAAGAAAACGATCACACATAAGCTTTTGGGCCTGCCTGAATTGATGACCATATTGAATAAATGTAATTTTTGTTTTCATTTGCTGAATCATTTCTGTTGACCACTGAATGAAAAAATTTATTGGGTAACCTTTACATTTTATTGCTTTTGCACCCTAGTTTAAAAACAAAGCTTAATTTTTTAAAAGTCCAATAAAATGTATTTTTGATATTTCCACCATAACTTTATAAGCAATTCCTCTCCTCTACCCTATAATAACCACCTTCTGCATTTTTATGATTTAGTTTAACATTATTACTGTAATTTTTTACTGCGTGAGTCCACCAATGTCCTTGGCAGCAAGATTTTGTTACAAGAAATCCAGAAGCTGAGCCTGTTGTTGGTTGCTACAATGATAAGGTTTTTTTGGATCGAGTCCAGAGCCTTCCCCTGACGTTATGAATGTAACCTCAGTCATGCCTCCTTCGTCAACTTCTCCAAAATACATGATCAGCTCGATCCTAAAATCTGTTGCTTAAATGAGCATATATTTTTTACTCAGTGGTTTTCATTATAAATATTTCATTTGATTAACATCTGGCCTTGATGGACTCCAGCCAAAAGAATTAGTGATACCTGTAGTAAAAATGGGATACCTTAGGAAAATCATTAATGTATCCGCATTTCTCCAGAAACTCTGGAAGGATTCACTCTAGCCAGGGTGTGCTCAAGGGGCATTAACTACGGGGCTCGATGCTGTGCTGTTATTTTCGTCCAAGTGCACCTCCAGCAAGAAGACAAAAATCTGAGGAATCTTAACCATTCATTCTTTAAATTACTAAATAAAATTAAATAGACTATAAAAAAGCCATTGAACTGTTAAATATTAGGAAATATTGAGCTGTGTGTCCAAAAGTCACACTTAAGACCAGGCAACGGTAATAATCATAGGATGGCTGTGGATACTATGAGATAATGTCTACTTGTCAGAAATGGATGGTATTTTTGTTTTCCGTCAAGGTTCAAAAGTTAATGATGTACTTTATATTTTAATTGCTTCTACTCAGAGGTCAATTAAGGAACAAAGGAGATTCTGGCATACTGTTATTCTTTTTCCCTGTGGGTATATTCAACATCGTATGTGAACAAGACCACATGTGTTAGAACATGCTGTTGCAGACTGCCCAGATTATCTAGGAAAATTTAGGACACGTCACTTCAGTCATCTGAAAGGAATCATTTCTTCATTACAACTCATAACTTAAAACTATAAAATAACAGCCAGAAAAAAAAAATTGACCCAGTTAAGAGAAATTTGATAATGGTAGAAAAGCACATATAGACATGACTGGGAGATGATAAGATTATTTTAATTTTCCCATTTGCACTGGAATTATTTATTTTACAAATCTCCAGATCTTTTATTACTTAAAACCTTCTGCTGAATCATGAAAAGAAGCTTAAGTTAGCAATTTCCCTCTGCAAAATCGAGCTGCTAGCATCTGGTGGACACTTGGATACCTAGTCAGGTCCTATGGAAATGATTATTTTAAGACTCTATTCAACATGCCCGGACTTAAAAATCAGCTAGAATCACACTCCGCACATGTATTTAACTCTAGGAGATTTTAAAACCTGGCATGAGTAGCGATGGTCTCAAGGTTCTTGCCGCAGCGGAGATGGGGATGGGAGATAGGATGCGCAGTAGGGCCGGATCCCGGTGTCTCCCAGCGCCCTGCGCACCCCCAGCGACAGCCGGCGCGCACCCCGGACCACCGCAGCACCGCCAGCGCGCCCGTCCATCCTCCTCACACTTACATTGAGACGTGCGCGGCCGGCGGAATCGAGGACCGGGGTCCTTGTGCCTGTCTGTGGCACCTCGGCGCTGCTTTCCGTCTCTTCACCAGACGCTGCTCTGCGTCCACAACAGCTTCTGAGGGGGAAAAAAGAGGACACTTTGACTCAATTGGAAAGATCACAAGAAGCTGAATTATTATCAAAGTGCATTGTTGTGGGATCCTAGGAGAAATTACATAATAGGAATATGTAAATACACGCCAATAAAAAATGCTATTATTTATCAAAATGTAACATTCAAGGAGATAGAGATCCTTGTATGCTGATTAGGAGAATATTTTTTGTTTCTGTGTACGCCAGTCTGCACTTATTTGAGACATATACTATAGTTTTTGTCCAAATAAACAATTTATTGTATATCTTTATTACTTTTCACAGTTATATGACGTGTTGAGTTCTCATTAGTTTAATTCTCATTAATACAGATTTGAGATAATTTAGAAAGGATTTGGGCATCTGCTACGGAGGAAGCAAATTCATGCGAAGTAATAGCTCAGGGGCAAAAGTTCGGTTTATTTAAGAAAAGTGAGCTCTTCCAGCAACATATTTGCATCCAAATTATATACACAGTATTTGAGTTAGAAATTATTCTTAGTTATTTCTCAAATCAGGTCTGATAGAGCTATAACTTGGCAACACGTTTAGGTTTTGCTTGAGCTCTCCGTGTAATTTAATTAGTTGAGTACATGTTGTAAATCATCTGTAATTTAGACTTTTGACAAATCATATGGGACTTCTCTCCACTTAAACAGGATTTCAGAAATTTAACTCTGTGTTTTGGAAAACAGATACTCCCTATTTTGTTTTGCTATATTTCACAGATTTATTTATCATCTACATTTGTTGTTCAAAAAGGATTTGAATAGCAACAACTTCAGACATTTAGATAAATAAAAAGATTTGAAAGCCAGGATTGATTGATTAGGAAATAAGTGCAAAATTGGGTATCCAATTTAGAATTTCTGCAATGTGATATAATGATATATTCCAGAACAATTCTTTTCATTAAAACTTTTTGTAATAGTGGAAATCTTCTCTGACTGCTCACTACGATAGCCACAAGCCACATATGGCTACTGAGCACCTGAAATGTGGCTAGTATGATTGAGGAACTGAATTTTTAGTTTTGTCTAATTTTACTTAATTTGAACTTAAATATCCACTTGTGGCTAGTGGCTCCTGTTTTGGAAAGTATAGTTCTACTTTAGCTGTATTCAGTATTCAACATGAAATGAAGAAGTGCTTGAATGTCTAGCTGCCGCACGTCTATAAAACATGAGAGTCCCCAAGACGTCAGGCCCAGGCCCTGACGCGCGGCCTTCCCCACGGAGCCCTCACAGCGAGCGAGCTTCGGCCTGGAGGGTGCAGACAGCAGCGTTCTGAACTTTGGCTCAACTTGCGGATATTCAGACATAAATAAAGTTTGGGTTAGCCATAGGTGATCTGAGAACGTTTGTCTCCGGAAAGCTGTGGGATCTCGAATTATCTCTAGTAATAAAGTTCAATGACGGTAAATGGACTCAAGGGCTTGACTTTCCAGTACGTTGCTCGTGTGGAATGATGGGCAGGTAATAGGGACAGATGGGAAGGAGATTGCCATGAACACAGCTGCCTCCATGGCAAGGAATCTCTCCAGATTCAGACTGGAGAGTAGGAACAGGCTGATAAATACTTCCGAGCTTCTGCCCAAATCATTCGCTAATAAGCCTTCACTGAGCACTCCATGTGCAAGGCACAATGCTTAGTGTTGGCGATAAAACGTTGAAAAAAAATAGATGGCTCTTGTCCACATGGTGACGAACTACATTAGATAATAAGATTTTTTTCCAGTGTCTTCTCTCAAAATTCACTTGTTTCTGGATATGGTAAAAATAAAACAGGAGAAAGATACACAGGATAAATAGAAACACTGAAGATCACTACTGAGTGTGTGTCACACATCTTATTCCATGTACTTCTCTTAGCACAGCTTTCATGGACCATACCCAGTTAGATGACAAGACTAGTTTTTTTTATTCATGCTGAAGAAGATTCACCCTGAGCTAACATCTGTTGCCAATCCTCCACTTTTTGCTGAGGAAGACTGTCCCTGAGCTAACATCTGTGCCCATCTTTCTCTGTTTCATACATGGATCACTACCACAACACGGCTGCCTATGGGAGGTGTAGGTCCACACGGAGCTGAACCTGGGCTGTCAACGTGGAACACGCCGAACTTAACCGCTAGGCCAGGGGCTGGCCGACAAAACCAGTTTTTGAAAAGCAATATTAGAAGCAGAGAAAATAACTGAAAAGATCTTAATTGCCATTTTAGAACATGAGATGAGTATCATCACTTAGCATTTATTGAAACGTTTGCAATGTATGTTTAAAGAGGGTTCTTTCCTCTCTATGAGCCAGAATAACGTCTTTTAAAATAATTACTAATCACAGACTTTTTTGTTGCTATTATGTAATGACACTCGTCTTCATTTTGACATTCACAACACTGTAAGAAAGAGTGCTACAATCACCATTTATGAACTCAATCAAATTAGTCAATACTCAAGCACCATTGCAAGACCTGAAGGGAACTATGAGTTACATAGGCCAAATGTAGCTCATTGTATTTCAGTTCATTTTGGAAAAAGGAGCCAGAAACGTGGGAAGGTACTAAGCAAGAACTATTTAGTTGGACTTCTATTTTTTCCTCTACGCAGCAACTACATAATTAAACGTATGGCTCCATCTGCACTTTTAGATGAATTTCCAAATGCGTCACTGATGGAAATTTCAGTATGAAAAGGATTAAGAATTAAATTAAATGAATGCAACCATAATACATAGACTTAATGTATCTAAAGACCATAAAGTCATTTCTCCAAAGATAATGTCCTTGACTTTGTGGATAGACATTCTGAAAATAATTTTAAAAATGAATTACAAAGCAACGGAAGAAATCACAAGAAAAAAAGGAGATAAATTTATATAAACACTCAAAAACCATTGCATATAAAAAAATATGAACAAAATTAAAAGGTGAAGGGAGTTTGCTTTATTCTTTAAAAAATTTTATACCCTATGGAGATTTGAAAACATAGCCACAGATTCTTTGGTCCTCCTCTGTGCTCCCTCCCATGGAGTCTGGGAGGGCTTAGGACAGCTTTGACCAGTGAAGGACCCTGGAACTTCTGAGGCTGGGTCAGGAAAGGCCACGAGGCTGCTGCCTTGTTGCGGGAATACTGTCTTTTGCAGTCCTGATCCTCCAAGTAAGAAGTCTGGCTACCCTGGGGCCACATGTGGGATCAGGCACACATGGGGGCTCCAGCTGGCAATGCTCCAGAGCTCAGCCTTCCTTCTGTCCCTGCCAGGGCACTAACTGTGAGTGAAGCCATTTGGGGCCCCTCAGGTGAGCCAGTCTGCCAGGCGAGTGAGCCATGAGAGCAGAAAAAGCCCCCAGCCAAGACCCATAACATTGTGAGGTAAAATAAAATGTTGCTTTCAGCTACTAATTTTTGATGTGGCCTGTTATGCAGCCACAGATAACTGATAACAGATAACTGGAGCATACCCTCTTGAATGGATGATATTTTTACAACAAAAATTAAAAAATTGAATGCAAAGGACACTCTGGGAAGTTATTTGCAAAAACTGACAAAGACAGTAGTAATGTTCTTCCTATATAAAGAGCTCTTACGAATCACCAAGAAAAAAAATACTAACACCATATAGGAAAATGGGCAATTAAATAAACATAAAATTTACAAAAGAAAAATAAAAAGCCTAAAAAACACGTAAAAAAAAAAAAGTCCAACCTCATTAGTAAGTAAAGGAAACATGAATTAAACAGTAGAATTAAAATTTTGGCTATCAAATTGTCAAAGAAAAAAAGAATCACATTGGTTTGGATTAAGTGGGAGTATAAATGGCACAAACTTTCTGGAAAATAAATTGATATTCCATATTCAGAGTTTAAAAAATATCCTATTCTTTGACACTAATAGGTACGTAAGCATTCAGGTAAGGAAGTAATCAGAAATGAGGTAAAATAATATAGAAAATATTTATCACAGTTCTATTTATAGGAGCAAAAATACAGAAACAAGCTAAATGTCACTCGATACAGTTAAATATGTACTTTATATTACATAATATTATTTTATTATTTAGAATAAAAATTTAAAGATGTTTTACTTTTTAATTCTGACCGGGGAACACCATAGTAGAGTAGAGAAAACTGGGGCTTTTCGTCACATAGACCAGGCTTTGACTCCTGGATTCGCCGTTTGCTTTTGCAGGATATTTATTTGGAAATTTGACTGACCTCTCTGAATTTCAGTTTTCACATAAGGAAATTGGGATGAAGTACCTATTCCATTGGGTGTAGTGATAAGTAAGTGAAATGATGGGTAGAAAAATAAGCATAATCGTTCCTCAATAGGGGTTGTCTCTTTTCTTACGATCTAAGGACAGGAGCTGAGCACCATATCCAAGTTCACACCACATTTCAACTTCACTAAAAGCTCTTCCTCTCTGGCTCGCTCTATATACCCTAGTCCACCATAGTCCCGTCTCTACACCATAGTCAGAGAGATCTTAAAAAACAAAATAAAAAATAAACACATCCATTTTCTTGCTTACAACTCTTCAATGGTTCCAATTGCATTAAAAATATATCTACTCTGCTCCACCCTCCATACAGCAGATGGGGGACTTCTGGAAAAGTAAATCAGATCATGCCATTCTCCTGCTCAACATCCCTCCCCTTGCACCCAACAGCTCCCCAGAGCATTGAGAACAGACCTCAGCTTCTCTCTGGCTTCTACGCCCCATCTGATTCCTACCTTGCCTCCATCCCGATCTTGACCCCTCTCCTCCTTGCCTTTATTCTCTGGCCACACTGGACTTCTCCTTATGGAGAAAAACATCGTGCTGGGCTCCACTCTCAGGCCGCTGCTGTTGGTGCACTGGAATGCTCTTCCTCCAGAACCCTGCATAGCTAGGCCCTTCACCACTTGCATCTCAACTGGAATATCTCTTCCTCACAGAGGTTATTCTTGACCATTCAGTCTAAAGTCAACCACTCATTTTCATGTA